ACCCATATTTAGCCATTCTGTAATTCATGCCAAGACACAATAACCACTGCAGTTGGCGCGTCCCAGGCTGAACGTGTCTATTACAGCATCAGACGACGATGGAAACGCCGCTTGCTCAGCCCCAGATGTCCAGCTCACCGCTTCTCCTTCACGAAGTCGGGCACCCAGTACGTCTGGCTGTTGTTGGCCAGCAGCTGGGACGTCATGTGCTCCACGCGCACGAACCAGGACGGCACCGCCTTGTAGATGAGCGGCGTGTCGGAACGCCAGCAGAACGGGTAGCTGTGTTTGCAGGTGCTGGCGTTGACCAGGCGGCCGGCCTCCTTCAGGTGCTTCATGATCGGCTTGTCGGCGTCCTGGCGGCGCGGACAGACGCCGACCGATAGCCGCAAATCCCCCAGCGGTACACCACGTGGGGACGGCCGCCATCGGCTCCCATAGCAGGGCGACTGGCAACGGCGCCACTTAGCTGCGGATCGCTGGCCACCCGGCGCCAATAACAAGGACATCAATCAGCTGCACTGGGCTGACGGCGGGGATCGGCGGGGGTCGGCGGCGTACACAGCACACGCCTCCCCTTTTATAATCGTGCGGCAGCCTCAGTTCAGGGTCTACGCTGTCTTCCCATTTGACTTTCAGGAGTCGCCGCGTTAAGAGAGCCCCCTGCGCCCAGGACTCACGGCCCGCCGTGACCACACGGGCCGGGACACACACACACACACACACAAACACACACACACACGCAGCGCTGTCTGCGCCACGAGCCTGCGCCTCACGCACCTTGACGTACTGGCCCTTGAAGTGGGAGACCTGGTCGGTGAACTTGCCGCTGGCGTCCACCGGGCAGACCATGTCCATGCCCTTGGTGATGACGCCGGCCGCCAGGCAGACGCGGTAGTCGTCCTCGCCGAAGAAGGGAGCCTGGTGCACCACACCCGTGCCAGACTCCTCCGTCACGTAGCCGTCCGTTAGCACGCGGAAGGCGCCCGACGACTTCATCTGCAACAAGATGGACAAATGCGTAATCACAAGTGATGCTTCGATAATTCTCAGCACAGGAACGCTGTTAGTACATGCAGCACAATGAGTCGTGGAGTGAGCATGTGCTGCTTTCGCGACATCATACCAATGCCGTCGACATCAAACTCAATATCTGGTCAGGCTATTGGAATTCTCGGTTCACTTTCGGCTTGATTACTTTGAATTGCAAAACCATAATACCAACGGAACGGTGCGGTGACTGAAAAGGCTCTGCTACATTCATACGGCAAAGTTTTCTCCGAAAACCGTAGAACAATGTTGCCTCCCATTGGCCGCATATGGGCCAGGTGAACTGACTGGCCGGACCAAAGCCGGGCCAGTTCTGGCAGCGGCCGGTGTCAATAGCAGAGCTTGGGCCACACCTAGCGACAGCCTGCATCCAAGTTCAGTCGAAGGACTATAACATTCTCAAACAACTGTTATTTATCGTTCCATTTCAGCCGAACGTTTTGTCGGGCCCACTTTCCCTCCATTTTTGCCGGACGTTAAAAAATTAAAATTCATTGAGACTGATTGCTGAGATTGATCACTGAGACTGAGCCGAAACCTCGGCAATTGTAAAAAAGACAAGACGGTATGGCGTCACTAGTATGTTAGCCATTTGCCACGAAGGGGAAACGAGCAAGCGAGATTTAGGCACAACGTTTGTGATATCCGGATACGACGGATGCGACCAGTATTTCGAAAGGAAAGTCTTGAGCAGGTTTTATGATACATAAAACTCAATACGGTAACAACAATATAAATATCCATGCTCAGCGAAATCACTTCTTCCCAATGCTTATTTGTCCGTGACCATTCGTATCACATTCGCACACCCAATACGTGACATCAGCAGTGCAGCCACCAACCAACCTTGGCGAAGTACGGGAACAGTGGCTTGTAGGCCCTGCCCTTTAGCTCTGCACCCTTCATCTTCTTCAGCACAGTATACTCCTCCTCCGACTTGAATAGCGACGTCAGTCGTGCCTCCATCATTATGTACTTCTTTCCAGACTCTTTCTCTGGAAAAGCAACGACTCGTGAAGTATTGGAAAACCCCTACACAAAAATGCACCATACCATACACCTCAAACATGGTGATCACCCACACAAAACTTCCGTCACATGCAGACGATCCCAAAATATATATTGCACATACATGTCCTGGACATATTGGACAACATGTTCTGAACAACGGTGATTCTCTACCGAGGGAAATGACGCGTAAAGAATAAGCTGTTTGATTTGGGGCGATCACATCCTACGGCAGGCCGAGATGAGGAGGCTTATAACGTTTGCATTACTTCACTCCACGAAATCGCCAGCTTGTATGGAGACCTCGTTTGCTATTTGTTACTTTACCTGGCTGACAAATATCCTATCACGCACTAATGACCCTCAGAGTCAGGGAGGCCTTGATCACATAACAAAGTACTCAGCGGTGTCTCAAAAGTGGTAGCTTTAGTCAGAGCGTAGGCCATGTCCGTGTTTCCAGCTCAACCTTGGACCTGGACGTAGGTCATGTTGGGGTTGACACAGAGGGCCAGGTTGCTGGGCAGCGTCCAGGGCGTGGTGGTCCAGGCCACCATGCTGACGTTCGGCTCGTCGTCCAGTGGGAAGCTCACGATCACTACCAGGCAGGAGAACACACAGTCACTGTCAGTCAGGGAACATATACAGTCACTGCCAGTGAGGGAACACATACAGTCGCTGCCAGTCAGGGAACACACCCAATCACTGCCAGTCAGGGAACACAGTCACTGCTCGGCCGGGAGCACACATGATCACCGCCAGGCAGGGAACACACACACACTGTCACTGCCCCAGACAGGGAACACACACCAGTTCATTGCCAGACAGAGAACACACATATGGACACTGCCAGACCGGAAACATACACAGTCACTGCAGGCAAGGAACACATAGTCACTGCCAGTATTAGAACACACAGTCCACACAGTCACTGCCAGGCCGGCAACGTACAACACCCGCCGAGCGGCGGCCGAGGCTGATCACCACCTACACATAAGCGGTGGGGCAATAACGGTAACAAGTACACAGCTAATGATCGCAGAAGTTCAGTTACTGCAGAGGGGGCTCATAAACGTTGAAAATGGCCTAAGGACAAAGCAACTGTTTGACCTGCACGACAGACTTGAAACAGTGCTACGCGTTTACTCGCAAAAACGATTTTTGACACCGTTTTCCCTAGACGGCACTCCCTCCTTGTAGTATCGTCCGCTGCCATACACCACACTGCTCCGCACACATTCAGTTTTCAAAGGCATCCGACGGATGGCCCGATCACCAGATTTACAGACGGTAGCTGACACCCCGCGCCACACCCGTCTCCCTCACCCCCGTCGGGGAGCCCATGCAGACCCACCTGCCGGGTCGACCACGTCCTTGTAGTTCTGGCCCGACTCGAAGTTGGACAGCGGCGTGTTGCAGCCGGTGGAGAACGGCATCACCTTGAAGCGCGGTACACCAGGCCCTTGCTGTACAGCTCCTTGAACACCCACCAGATGCTCTCCATGAACCACGGGTACAGCGTCTTGTAGTCGTTACGGAAGTCTGGGGAAAAGACCGTGGTAGTATTGCATCATTCCGGAGTACTATTAGACATCCAGCCTTCGCAACTTAACCGAAAGCGGCACGTCAGTTGCGTCGCCCACAACGCACAGGATTCCGTGTAATAATATGCTCATCACATAAACGGACCACACGGCCTCGTTGCGGGATGCGCAGTTTGGTTCCGGGACTAAGTTACGCCTGTTTCCATGCTTGAGCTTTATTAGAATAACTATTGCACTGCTTGTTGACAGCTTCACATGCTAGCTACGGATTTACCTGGGTCGATGAACGGGGACAGAAACAATAAAAAACTAACCCGGGCAACCACTTCAGTAAATCAGCCCACAGCCACAGTGAGACCAACTGGCGCATGCAACAGCCAGGTGTGATGTGACTCAACATACCGAACTGGCATATCAAATTATATTTAGCAAGAATCCACATAATGCCCAGCAGCCTTCGCGCAGATAACTTTCCTTTGTCAAGTCGACTGAAAGCAGTTTTGGAAGTCAAATATATCGACCCAACATAGCTAGACAACACCTCATATGTGAATCATATTATATGACCTCATCGTCATCGACTTCGTCTGCAATTTTAACTGTGACTGTTGCAAGGCATCGCAACTGAGCTTCGAACACTGTTATCTGCGACGGACAGCGTCTGACAACAGCGTTGCAACTCAGCCTGTCCCTACGAGTGAGCAGATGATGCGCTTCGTGTTGGGATGAATGCACAGCCGACAGTGTAGAACCAGTGGCAGGGAGTGTGCCGGGGGCTCCTGGGACAACTTCACGGAAGCAGGCGGCCCGAGGTAATCGGACGACACGTACCGATCCAGCGCCCCATCCTGCCGACGCCCGTCTCCCACTCGTGAGAGTAGCGCATCACGATCTTGCGACACTCGGCGTTTGTACCGGTCGATGCCCATCTTGGCCACGTCGTCCGGGCCGCGGATGCCCAGCGTCTTGTCGATCTCGTACTCCTGCCGATGGCGTCACCAACGGCACGTGTCAGGCGGCGGACGCGGTTACGCGTCCACAGACGGCGTCACTTCACCAGGGTCACGGGCGGCGGACACGGCCACGCGCCCCCAGGGCGCCCTCTCACCGGGGTCACAGGTGGCGGGCGCGGTCACCCGTCCCCAGGACGCTACCTCATCGGGGTCACAGGCAGCGGGCTCCCCAGGGCGCTCCCTCGCCAGGGTCACAGGCGGCAGGCTCCCCAGGGCGCTCCCTCGCCAGGGTCACAGGCGGCAGGCTCCCCAGGGCGCTCCCTCGCCAGGGTCACAGGCGGCGGGTTCCCCAGGGTCACAGGCGGCGGGCGCGATCATGCGTCCCCAGAGCGCCACCTCACCAGGGTCACAGGCGGTGGGCTCCCCAGGGTCACAGGTGGCGGGCGGGGTCACACGTCCCCTGGGCGCCACCTCACCAGGGTCACAGGCGGCGGGCTCCCCAGGGCGCCACCTCACCAGGGTCACAGGTGCTGGTGACGCTCCACATGCCCCACGGCCGAGCTGGGCTTATGAGGGTGCAGGTGTCACCTTGCTGTAAGGGTCGAGACAACCCCCCCCCCTCTCTCCGCTACGTTTGCACACCACTTTTTCGACAATTTTTGAGTGACAAAATCTCACTACATGGCAGTGGAATTTTGCCGAGTGTCGTATGTTTTTGTGTCCTTGCCCTCCGTCGTGCATCGCTTGGAATCTAGCCGTTTAGAAAAACTGCCCATCGACTAATGTCTGACTTCCATCGTGCATCGCATACAATCTCACCGTTTAGAAAAACTGCCTATCGGTTGGTATCTTTGACTTCCATCGTGCGCCGCACGCAATCTCAACGATTAGGAAAACTGTTCATGGACTCGTGAATCACGCACAAGCACATCCGGCGCCGCATCGCCCACTACTTCGAGCATCGCTTGTGGCAATTCTTTCGTCGATTTGTCGTTTCTGAATACGGTGAATGCAACGAATGTGGAAACACTATCACTAGGTTGACAGTGGTTGCTTGGACCCCGCTTAACATCTGTTACGTGAAGTATGGGGTCGTCGATATACAACGATACATTTTGTGGGGTGGGGGATGGCATACTGGAGCATAACCGATGCGTAACAAAGCAGAGCACTGACAACATAACGTTATCCTCAGGTGTGCTTATCCTTAAGTTGTTTAAATGGTTTAAGACCTTACTGCCGGATACGGTTGACTTTCTCTCATGACAAGCAGTACGCCAGCCTTTGCCCCGCACCTCAAGTCCAGTTAGAGGCCTACCGGACGCCACCGGTCTGGGACGCTACGCTTACAAATATAACCAAGTGAGGGTTTTATCGCCCGGCGTGATCGGTGCGTAACCGACGGAAGGGGGATGACCACAAGTGCGTGACGTCATATTTGCATGTGGTACGTATGGGTGCTTCTCCCTGGATTTCACTGCTGAACGGCGGAATCATGATGTGCCATCGCACCTGTCCCAAGCAAATGTTCGGCCGCTACAACATTTTGGAATTCCGCAGGACAAACTCGGGCCACTTTTTGGGAGCAATCGCTCCACCTCATTGCATAGCCTTGGTCACGTACGTTAGCGCGTTATACACGTGTCTGCACCACACCAATGCGTTTGGATGCTCCTATCATCGTCCTGTTTGAGCCCACGAGCTGGGGTATGTCCTGGCGAACGGCACATCAATAGGTACGCACAGTGAGTACACATTTACACACATATGTGGCCACCTTTTTTGCTCTTTTTGAAATTACTGAGCTTACACTTTCCTATTTTCAGGCACACGCAAACCTTGACATGGCTGGTGTTTCCGAGGGTGCACACTGCTGCCCTGGGTGTTGTGACACTCACCACGGGCAGGCCGTGACAGTCCCAGCCAAAGCGGCGCTCCACATGAAAGCCACTTTGGTGGGCATGGCGCGTCACGATGTCCTTGATGGTGCCGGCCAGGATGTGGCCATAGTGCGGCAGGCCGGTGGCGAACGGCGGCCCGTCGTAAAAAGAGAAGCGCGGCCGCCCCTTGGACTGGCGCAGGCAGGTCTGGAAGGCGTCGATTTCCTTCCACAGCGCGAGGATCTTCTCCTCCTCCGCCGGGAAGCTGATGTGCTCTGGCACCGGCTGGGCCATGATCGCCGCACGTCCTGACAACAGACAACCCATGGATGCCTGTCACAGATCAGCGAACCAGCCATCCTTCTGTCACATACAACCATGTAATCGTAGATTAGATCCCATGGACACCTGTAACAGGAGATTGGTAAACCAGCCATCCTTCTTTTGCCTGATTTGTTTCATGGTGAGTTCTTTGTAATTTGTGGTGAGTTTGCCTCCTCTGTGGTCCAGGGGAAAGATGCTGGACTCATAATCTAACAACACTGGGTATGAGTCCCAGAGTGGGCGCATTGTTTGACCCAACTGACACGAAAAGGTCAGTTGGCAAGCAGCCAACGAGGGTTGACCCAGGCACGGGCGGCCATGCCACAGCCTGGTGTGTCACATAAAAACCTTCCCATTCCTGTCTGGCAAAAGGGCCCAGGCAAAACTATGGGTTAAACTGGAGGGCACAACCTGGGTGGTGGGTTCACAGTACACACAGCAGGTACCCTTGGCAGGTACCCTGAACCTGAAGTCACCCGTGCAAACTGTTCAGAATAAATTTATTTAAAAAACTAAAAAACAAAAAATCATTCTGTCACATATAACCACATAACAGTAGATTAAGTTTGCTGGCCCCAACCTTGGCTGCTAGCATGCCAGCTGACCATCTCACAATTTTCAGTTGTGAACCATATGTGTCTGAATGTCATGTCATCAAATGGCATGACCATGCATGCTCATTTTGTTTGAACGCAATATGCCTGCCACAATTAGTCATGCTTAACATGACATAATCATCTACCATGGTCTGTTGCATAGATTTTGCAATTGCATCATGTGTGTCATGTTATGTCCTATTTGTTGAGCTATCTGATTACCCATGATCATGATGAAACAGCATGGCACACTGGCAGTTGAGAGCAGCACATTTTGTTGACATGACAGGTGACTGATGGGGCACATGTCCAACACATCAACATAGCATATCTTAGGAAAGTTGCTGTGTGCATTCACATTAAAAAAAACAGGATGAGGAAAGTATAGATGCAGTAATATTTCAGCAGCGTGCCTTTATTTAAATAAATAGCAGAAGTGGATTCACATAAAATATAAACAGACATAAATACATAAATATTTTTTGCCAAGATTCCATTAAGTTGCAAGCTGTCTATTTTGGATATTTATAACTAATTCTGATTTTCCATCACTGTTATCACTCATCCTCAAATCACTAGCAATTTAAGATGCCAATTCACTAACAATTCACTATTTTCCATTTACTTCACACATAACAGTCAGAACCACCATAATCTTAAATGTCATACTGTTGTCAATATATCTGCCATCTGCGGTCACCGGTCGCCACGGCACCACCTGCAGCTTTGCGGTGGTGGTAGCATATAAGGGGTACAGGTACATACTAAAATCTCTCGCTAATCGATCTGGATTCGGAAACGACCACAACGATCACATCAAGCAGAACCCGGCATAACTTTGCTCGCATGACCCATCCCGCCACACGTCTGACATCCAACATGGACCTCCCTCGGTACACTCCCGACACCTACCTACCTAATAGGCGATGCGATATCGCTCCCCACGGGATATTCCGCTACCAAAATCTCTACGGTAACGCAAACACCCTCAAACCCGCCCACAGTTCCCTCCGCACGGCAATCCTGCCGGGCAAGGCGATCGCGGGTGCGTACGGAGAACCGGGAGCATCCGTATAGTATTGGAAGTTTCATACGTGCCGGAATAAATACGCTGCACCATATGTTCACGGTCCAATAAAGTTAGTTGGTAGCACTACAGGCCCACAGTATAAACCTCCTACTTGCCCAATAGGTTCAAGCGTTTGTGATATGCTCTCGGAAGTGTGCAAGTTAATTCGATTTCACCTGGTTCCGATGGATCCGGCACCAAGAGATTTATCGTTAATTTTCTTGTCCTGGTCAAGAGCTTTTCGTCCACATGAAGAAACTAACCGTGTACAGGGCCAGGGTTTCCCCACGCGACGCGATGTGTTGATTGTGATTGGAACTGAGGTTGATTGTCAGCTGTGACAGTCAGCTGTGGTTGATTGGAAACTTATGTACGAAAGAATGTTTATTAAACGCACTGACCTATACCAGTCATAGGTCAATGATTAAATGCAGCTTAGATACGGTCTCTGGTTCCGGCTGCCAAATCCTCGTTAAAAGCTAAAATTGGGCCAGGTAACGATACATTTAGTATACTTCTAGTAGCACACTGAAATTGTGAGCTAGATTCCGCTCTACCCATCCTAAAGTGTTCACGGGACCATGTGTCGACAATAAAGACATACCTGGCATATGGTCGCCGGCTCTGATGCTCCCACCTACTAAGTTTTCGTCACGTTTACGTCAGTTCCTTCAAGCGACGGGCGGGAGTTGGGGGGGGGGGGGGGGGCGGTCGTCCAGTTCGGTCTGTTGGTGAGGACGTGAGTGGACGTAGGTCGGTTGGGGGACGGTGAGCTGCTCTCTAGTTGGGCTGTACCCAACGGGCGGGCGTTATGCTACATTCGAGCAGGCGCTGAATGTCGTTTTTGAAGAGATACTGCATAGAAAAACCCATGCCACAGATGTAAGGTGTTGTTAATCAGCCAGATTGGTTTAAGAACTCCGCATAGCAGCTGCGACCGTTCTATCGCCCTTCAATCTTAAGTTGTCCTTGTAAAAGCGGCCCGAGTGGCTGGCGGACGCCCAAGAGTCGGGGAGAGAGCAGGGAGTTGCCCCTTGTATAACGCACCTACCTGTAGAAAAACTACAAAGGCGCGCAAACTGCGACACCGACCGGCGCTCTGACATCCGCATCGCGTCGTGCAGATGCCGGATACAGCGCATCGTCAGCCAGCCGCGAATCGGAGCCGGGGTTAACCATCGGGGTGCAACATAAACCAGCGCTACAGGACTAGACCAGATGCCGTGCGAAGGGGTGTAGCAGGTGGAGCAGTGCGACGCGGACCGGCACGGATGCCACGCGAAGGGGTAAAGCAAGTGGACCATCGCGACAAACACTGGGGCGGGTGTCATGTGAAGGGGTGTAGCATGTGGACCAGTGCGACAGGGACTGGACCGGATGTCATACGACGGATAGGGAGCTCATCCATAGACTAAGGGTACTCGAAGTGGTTGCTGGGAAAGTGTCACAAAAGCGTTTTGGTAGACAAAAGAGATGCTGCTCGCAGAATCAAGACCTGTTACTGCGGTCGGTTCAGGAGTGTAGTTTCCGGTTTAGTTTGGAGCTCCTGCCCTCTCCCAGTTTTGAGAAGGCGGTGGGCCAAATCCAGAGAAGTCAGTTCGACATACTTTGAGGGTGGCTTTATCCCTTGTCTCCTGTTCAGGCCTCGAGCCTAACTCGTGTGATTACAATATAATAGTGGTCAGGGGCAGATCCAGAGGGAGGGGGCACGGGGTCATGCCCTCTTGGGCCCGAAGGTGTCCATAGCCTCCGAGGGGGGCCATCGCCGGCCCAACAGACGCAGTTTTTTTTCACGCAGAACGCAACAACATTGGACGTCTTTGGGGTTCCAGGTGACCAATAACAGTCGCAAGCGAAGGTGAAAGGCTCAAGGTCAAGGCTAGACAATAATTATTCCTCTCTGATGGAGAGGATGGTTTTGAGATGTCTTAAGACTACCCACGCTGTCCAGAGGCCCATGCTGTTTCCGGGGGTCCTATAGGTCCACTTACGGGGTCAAGCTGATCGTTAAGGAGCCTTTCACGTTCCAATTGATTTCTTTGCATTTGCTCAGGGGACCCTGCACTGTTGGTGGAGTCCTTCCTGTCAGGCAGCGTGCAGAGGCCTTCTTTGTCAATCATGGACCTTCCACAGATTATTTCCATTCGTCCGAAACGCTCTATACGCTAGAGCCGGAGGGCATATGTTGGCATGCCGGGTAGTTCTCTGTTGCTCAGGAGCCTTTCACGTTGGCCACTGTTGACCTACTGGCGCACTCGCGATACGCTCATGAGCCTCTTCATTGGTCTAGGGTGCGTTCACTTTTCTGTCAACAGCTTAGAGCCTTACGCTGTTGTCTGGAACCCATCTATTAAACTGCTTGGGCTAATCCGGTCGTTCGGGGCCCTCCAAATGGGGTCTTAGAAACTTCGTGTTTGAATGAGGGCCCTATGCATGTGGTTTGTGTCTTGTACATCCAGGTTGTCATGTCATGTGAGATGTCTTGAGATGTCTTATGTGAGATGTCGGTGTCATGTCCGACAACCTGCCCGGACACGCTTGTCGGGGCTCCTCTTTGTTAACCTGCACCTGCACAGGCCCACTGGATTTTCGGGGAGGGGGGGCCGTGCACATTGGGTCTTGGTATTTGAATGTAGGGCTCTAGCCCCCCCCCCCTCCCCGCTCCCCCTGTCAGGGCCATCTGATAGCCAACACAGTACACTCGATTTCTCGGTGTCCCTCTACACCGGGGTTTGGGTCCGTCTTATTTGAATGGAGGGTCCCACACTCCTGTCGCCCCCCCCCCCCCCCATCTGTTAACCTGTTCGGGCACACTCGATCATTCTTGGGCCCTCCACATGGTCTCTTGGGTGCTTCTTAGTTGAATGGATGACCCTATGTTCTTGTCGGAGCCCCATCTGTCAAACTGCTGGGGTCAATGGCGGATCCAGAGGGGGGACATGAAATCGTACTCCCCTTTTGTGCCCCAAAGGGACCCATAGGCCCTGAAGCGGTTTGTGACCGGATGAGCGGACGCAGTTTTTAAACATAAAACACAATCAAACTGGACGTCTTTGGGCCTCCAGGCGACCAACAACAGTCAGAAGCAAAAGTGAAGCCCATGTCAAATTCATCACGCTGTCCAGAGGCGTCACGCTGTTGCCGGAGCCTTATATGTCTACTTGTCGGGTATATTCGATCGCTTAAGAGCCCCATGTTGGGTCCCATGTGCTCTGACACACTTAGTTACTCTTAGGGCCTTCATTTTGGTCTCGGGTTTTTTCCACTTGCTCGCGGGACCATGTGCTACTGCTGGGACTAATGTAAGGTAAGACGCTGAGTCACTCGGTGCTCACGGGCCCCTTTACATTGATCCAGGGCTCTTCCCCTTTGATTTTGTTTTCGGAAGATTGTTCGCTCCCATCACGGCCCTCTCCGACAACCTGCCCGGACACGCTTGATCGCACAGTGGCATTCATTCACGCACGCTGGTCTTGTGCGCGCACACGCACAATGGTCCCTTTGCCCAAAGGCCCCTATGCTCTGGCCGGGGTCCTATATGTCACCCTGCCGGGACACTTCCGATCGTCCAGAAGCCTATCACTTTGGTCTTGGGTTCTTCTCGCTTGCTTTGAGGACCCTATGCTTGTTGACGTAAGTCTCTTTGTCGGCCTGCGGCGGCACCCATGATCGTTCAGATTTCGTCGCTGCTGGCTTTTGTGTGTTAGCCTTAGAGCAGCAGTCGGATATGCGCCGATTAATTTTTGCGCATAATTCTCGAACATAATTTTACGTGCCGCCGGCGTCGCAACGTTTAGCCTTTATCGCTCCGTTCCGCGGTGCGCGAGTAACAACAATGAATGCAAGCAGTCACTGTACTCGTACGTTTCAACTTAATATCTGTCTAGAGGCACTGCGCCCAGCCCAGAGCCTCGCCGTCAACAGCTCAATCCCTTCCGCGCCAGTGCACGCGCAGCTTGGCCTCCTAGCACGCCCCCCGTTGGTGCTGTCACCTGGCCGGCCAGTCACCACAGACACCATTTACGTTAAAGCCCACGAGATGTCGCCAGGTGTACAAGCCAACCCACGCGCACAAGGTAGCCGTGTGCGGTATTTGGGTTTGTTATTGAAGTTGTGACACTTATTAGACTTGTGCATCTCAGTGTTATCCATTTAATTAAATGCATGTTTATGCTGGGGTATTTTGTACTCATTTATAAGAAACAAAGCAAAAACTCTGAATAAGTCATCCATCAGTTGACCACAACTAGCCTCTTACCTGTAAATATGCTAGGAATCAGGCTCGTACTTACTTTAAATAACATTTAGCAGCCAACTTTGGATTATTTTCCAAGCTTTTTTCTCCAAAACTCTTAGCTTCAAAACGACAACATTCATCATGTCTGGAGAAAATGAATGAGCTCCGTATACGTGCATACGTAGCACATCTAACTTTCTATAGATGCGCACAGTAAGACGTGTTTCCGTATGAAAATGGTTTTAGACTTGATGGCCGGATTTACATAATTTTTTAAGGGAGGTGTAAACCCGACGGTTGCCCCACAATGTTGTGTGCCCCCCTCCTTGACGAAATCCTGGATCCGTCCCCGGTAGTAGTGGTGTTCGCGTCAGGGGACCCCGTGCACTGGGTCGGTTGCGTGAGCACCCGAATGCAGAGATACTGTCCGCTTTGCTTCAGTCTCAATGACAAAGACATGTCGCAAATAGTTCACACTGCTATGATGAATGCAAAGGCCGATACCAGGGGGAAGTGCGTGCGAATGTCTTCGGTCCCGAACGTCCACGCTGACAACTGTCACGCCGTGACAACTGTCACGACAACTGACAACTGTCACGATTCTGTTTCGTTTAGATGCCCTGAAATTTTCGAAGAGATATGGTGAAAAAAGCGATGTCACTCCTGCCCTCCGCTTTTTCCATGCATGTTTCACTGTGATCTT